CCAACTAAAGCAAACACTATTCTCCATAATAGTGACAAATGTAATATTAAAAAATTAAAAACATCTAAACATCATTAATCATGATTCCCGATACCAAGTTTGATACTACAAAAAAATACATATATTAATGCAAAAAATTAATTAATTCATTAATAAATGAATTAATAATTGATAAATATAATGATATTGGTTTTAAATAAATAAATAACAGTCAGTGAAAATGAATAAGGAGCACCTTTCAAGCAATAACATAAAGACTGCTAAGTTGTTTTGTCTATAGGTTTTATTTAAGCTGAAGTAATTCAGCTATGTGCACCAATTTTGCCTTTATCTTGTGAACATTGTTTCATTAATTACTGCATTCATACTGTAACTGCAGCATGTAATGCACAGATATTATGATGGTTCTTCACATGTGATTGCATTTATATTTGAGCTATCAACATGCCTCAGTACACAGCCACAACACTAGATATCAGCAAGAGGACTAAGTTTCCCTAAGGATGAAATTCTATCCTATCTTATCCTAGATGTGCCTTATAAAGTTGAACACTCACAGTAGCCTTGGGTTTTTGTTTCATTCAAACTAACAAAAATTGCATCCATTGTGGCAGATTGTTGTGGGAATCTGGTTAAGTCTCACGTACCTGTTGATGCATTGTATATGGTGAAACCCACCCCTCCTCCGATGCCCATACTGTGAGCATTAACCAGACTCAGACACAGCAGAGTGGCAATAGCAGCATCAACTACTGAACCGTCACGCTTCAGCATGTCCCTGCAAAGAGTTGCAAAAGTCTCATCGCTCATGCAAGTAATCTCTCCCAGAAACATAAATGTGGCTCTTTGGAATTGTACCTCCCGATCTCAGAGCAAGTCCCGGCATCCGCTGCCACTGCTGCTTTATTATAGCACTTATCAGATGATGGTACAGTGGGTTTTAAGGTCGGTGTTACAGTGGGTTTTAGAGTGCTCTTTGGAATTGTACCTCCCGATCTCAGAGCAAGTCCCGGCATCCGCTGCCACTGCTGCTTTATTATAGCACTTATCAGATGATGGTACAGTGGGTTTTAAGGTCGGTGTTACAGTGGGTTTTAGAGTGAGTGTTAGAATGAGTGCCAGAGTAAGTCCCACTATCAAAATAATCACTAAGGCAACCAACAGACATCTGAAAGCAGACAACCAGAGTACAGTTTGAGATATTTAATATATATGCTTATCTCTTCCTATCATAAACAAGACACACTTGACTAAATTAGTACATTTTGAACTTGTGGGAATTTTAATTATTTATTTTTTGGCCCCCATGAGGAAACACGCTAATAAATCATACAGAAAGAAGTCTTTGTGTGTGTGTGTGTGTGTGTGTGTGTATATACACTGCCTAGTTTTTAGGATTTAATAATTTTTGCAGTGATTAATATGTTTCTGGCATGTTTATGTTTTGCAACAGTTCTTTTAATCCCTACCTGAGGCAGTATGTAGCTTTGTATTTCTGAATAAATTGTGAAATGAGCATAAGGAGTCATTTTTATGCACAAATTGTTCACCACAGAATCCTAACCTTTACCCTGTTGAAAGTCTTGAGGATGTGCTGGAGTCGACTTTACAGAGTGGTTCAATGCCCCCATTGTTAAAACAAGATCTTGGCCAAAAATTAATGCGACTCTTGGTGGAAATGTTGTTATGACTCATGGTGTTGTTGAAACAATACCACAATGAAAGCACAATATTATCAAAGCTAAAGGTGGTCTAACAAAATATTAGAGTTTGTAAGAGTATTTTGTAGAGTTTTTTTTTTTTTTTGGATAGGCAGAATAAAGTTGATTTCTTTCACAAGCAGATCTTTCACAGTTTGAGGCTGATGAATACTAACATTGACACCCTGCAGTATGCACAGCAAATTCCCGAGTGTTAAATTAACACTGCTTGGAGCATATATGGTCCCACTCTAAAAGAGTGTTAAAGTAACACTGAAGCAGTGTTAAAGTTAATGAGATAATTATGTGAGTAATTAAGTGCTGATTGAGCATTAGTGATGAACAGCTGCTGTTAACAAACAGAATCACTGAAGAAAAGAGAAACACAAGAACTACAACTGACTTCAGCCACAGCCTTAGATGAAATCAACTGAAATAAAAGACATTAAATCTCTCAAGATCTCAGCAGAAGATAATTAATCATCTCCACAAACAGTATCACCAGCTTCATGCATTACTAACCAGTTTGACTTTGTTTCTGGAGGATCTAAAACAGAAGTTCTTTATTGAGAATTAAAAAGTTAAATTTTTTTTTTCAACTTACAGTTTTTGTGAATAGTGGTAGCTTTAGTTGCCTCTTGACCCTTGACTTTTAAAGTTTAAGTTTCTCTTTGGCTGTCACAATTGTGTTTATGAAGAACATGTGTGACGGCAAGGCACTTATGATTTCTATGCTGTTGCAGTTACATGAGCTAACAATGTGAAAACAACTTCATAAACAACTTTTATAAATATGGTTCTTAAACAGGTTTCAGTTCTGGCACTCATAAACATGAAGAATCAGCATGTGAATCTCAGCAATGGTGACAAAATATTCTGATCATTTTTATGTGATTTTTGAACGTCACAAAACAAGGCAGTAAAAAGTAACAACAAAAAATAACAAAAATAAAAGCAAATAGTAAAAGTAAAAGAAAATACTAAGACAATGCAGCTGCATAATTTATTCATGTTGCAATGCATGCTGGGAGCCATGTATGAGTTATGATTGGTGCACCCAGAATGCACTGCAACATGAATCTGTCTGATGATCGTCACCATTGTTGAGATTCATATGCTGATTCTTGATGTTCGCTTGTCTAAACACTACCGATGTTCTAAACTGGTGTGCAAAATGTTTTAAAAGCTTTTCATATTTTTTTTTTAAAATGCAGTTCTGACCAAGCTATAGTTCACATTACCACTGATGAGATCGGTAAACCTGCTACAACATGACAGCTATTTCATTATCAAGATAACAGCCAATTTAATCCAAATCTAATTTTGCTTGGCTTTTCTTACCATAACTAATGCAATTCATAAACACATATACAGCAACTCAAGAAAAAGTGTTGATAATAAGTCAAGTGTCAAGAGCTCAACTAAAGCAAACACTTATCTCCACAGCGGTGAGTTCAAATTGTGTTATTTTCAATAAACATTAACATCTAAACCTCTGTTAATTCTTAATAAGAATTTTTTTCATGCATGACAAAAAAAAGTCAAACTGGTTAGTAATGCATGAAGCTGGTGATGCTGTTTGTGGATTTGTTTAATTATCATCTGCTGAAATCTTGATGGATTTAATGTCTTTTATTTCAGTTGATTTCATCTAAGTCTGTGGCTGAAGTCAGTTGTAGTTCTTGTGTTTCTCTTTTCTTCAGTGATTCTGCTTGTTAACAGCAGCTGTTCATCACTAATGATCAATCAGCACTTAATTAATCACATAATTATCTCATTAACTTTAACGCTCTTTTAGAGTGGGACCATATATCCCCCGAGCAGTGTTAATTTAACACTGGGGATTTTACTGTGTATATATATACGTCTTCTGACATGGTTGTTTGAGAAATAATAAGCTACAGACTGCATCAGTTTGGGTTAAAAGAACTGTTGCAATATATATATATATATATATATATATATATATATATATATATATATATATATATATATATATA